AAATCGCGTTGTGGAATAGCTCCCTTGACGCGGTCGTAAGTAGTAGAATATGGCGCATCGTACCTTGTACAAGCTGCTTTCAAGCTTGTAAATTGACCCTTATTGTATGCACTGATTGCAAGAGCAATTTGACCTTCTTTTCGAGACATTTGAACAATAATTGGGTAAGTTATGTATATTGAAAGTGTGTAGGGTGGTCAATGGTGGGGTAAAAAATCCGGACTCCTTATAAATCCGGACTCCTTATGAAGTACGTTAATTACTTAATCGATTAGTAATTAACTAAATTATAATTAAATAGATTAAGAGACGTTTAGTTAATCTAAGTAATTAGAATAATATTATAACGTGCATGTATAGCGAACCGGCCAAACAAGCGAACCGGCCAAAACCCGGCGACCCCACCACACCTCCACGAAATATTAAATTTCTCTACAACGAAGGATGCCTCTGAAAAATGACGAAAGCCGGTTAATCTTAGCTATCTAAGCTATGCAAAAAGACCCAAATTTACGTGCTCGAGCTGCTGCCAGGACCTATTCTGTAGACCACCGGTGATCTTAAGCTAAAGACGCCAACGCCTCCAAACTCCCCCCCGTATTCCGCTCAGCCTTGGGTTTCCCAGACACCAAATAGCCCTACTGAAGCCTTATCACAGACTGCATTTATTAAAGATCGAATTTTACGCCACCAAATTAGCTCTCCAACCCCTATTTACGAGCCATTGACCAGTTTACGAAGGGTGCATCAAAAGTAATGCACCAGATAGTACTATTGAAAGCTGAGAACCAGAGACTTCGACAAGCAAATGAAGTACTAAGTAAGCGCCGTAGAGCTAAAAAAACACGCCTACAGCAAGGAGGATCACTTAGTCAACAGGAAGCGCAGGACCTACAGGATGATAGAGACGTTGGTGAGCAGGTAATGCAGGAAATAAAGAGAGGTAGTGGTCGGAAGCCGAGGGAAGAATCACGTGCACGGCGCTGTGGCAACTGCGGAGAGACTGGTCATAATACGCGCACCTGTAATATTATAGAGGAAGTATCTGAGGAAGAAATTTCTGAATAGTGTTTTTTAATTAGAGGCGTTGTGGTAGAGTTCTTACAATTTCAATCGCGAGTGTAGAAAATTTTGGCCGGTTCGCTTGTTTGGCCGGTTCGCTATACATGCACGTTATATTATAACGGCAAAAGATAAAAATACTACCTAATTAATTTTTTTCAGCGAAAATAATTAGTAGAGTAGAGTCGAGTAGAGCACCTACTCAACCCTACTTGAGTAGGATTTAGCCCTACTCTAACCTACTCGCCAAGAGTTAAGTAGGTTAGAGTACTACTTGAGTAGTACGGAGTAACTCGGACCGAGACTCCGTAGCGCGCCTAGGGGTTCCGGCTTGTCGGTCCACCTGCTCGGACTTAGCCGACTACATAAGCGAGTTCCTTGAATAGTAAGTTTATATAAGCTTTATATATATTAAACTCCTTGCTATTTAGTTCTATAGACTCTTCCTTTAAACTAGTAGAAGGCAAATAGCGGTAGCTATACTATTTAATCTTTATATATATTAAACTCCTTGCTATTTAGTTCTATAGACTCTTCCTTTAAACTAGTAGAAGGCAAATAGCGGTAGCTATACTATTTAATCTGTTACTCCGTACTACTCAAGTAGTACTCTAACCTACTTAACTCTTGGCGAGTAGGTTAGAGTACTACTTGAGTAGTACGGAGTAACTCGGACCGAGACTCCGTAGCGCGCCTAGGGGTTCCGGCTTGTCGGTCCACCTGCTCGGACTTAGCCGACTACATAAGCGAGTTCCTTGAATAGTAAGTTTATATAAGCTTTATATATATTAAACTCCTTGCTATTTAGTTCTATAGACTCTTCCTTTAAACTAGTAGAAGGCAAATAGCGGTAGCTATACTATTTAATCTATTTTAGCGAGAGGGTATTTACAAATACTAGCTTTTTGTACTTTAGTTACTACTTATAGTAAAACTACTTAGGTATTACTTAAGTAGTCGAATCTACTACTCTAACCTACTTAACTAAATCACCTACTTAAACCTACTCTAACCTAATTAAGTATAACCCGGATATACTTAAGTAGTCGAGTAGTTCTTTCTTTCGCTGATTTTTTTGCGACAAAAATGCCACCTGTATACCACTCATCTTTTTTATATACGTTTTATATACAAATTTAATGAAAATGGAACTTGTGGTATATCTGTCGTAAAACAGTAGCATTTCTGTCGCTTAATAATCACTTGCTATATATCCTAATAGCCTCGAATATAGTAAATAGCTAGCTTGTTTACTAGCGCGAATCCTTGTTTATCAATGGTCTCCATCTAAGTATAGCCTCTATAAAACATTAACTAGTTATATACTAACAACCTTAAAGCGCTTGTAATATACCATTTGCGTGCTACTGAAATAGAACGCCCCGCGCCGTCGCGTACTCCATAGTGCCGGCCACGAAGTTGAGGATATTGCTCAGGAACAACTAATAATAACCGTAAGCACAAGGGTAAGGAATACTAGGCTTAACCACCACTAATATCGACAAGAACTAGCTTACGAGGTATCAAGAAATAGCGAGTAGTTAGCTAATTTACTTTGTTTATTATTTTCGTAGTGCCTTGCTCATAAAGTCTGATAAAGAAACAAAAACGTTATAATAATAAAAATACTACTTTTTAGCGACAGATATGCCCCTTTATTCACGATAGAAATGCTACCTTTTTACGACAAGAATGCCACCGATGATACAGACATTACTTTACGAGTAATTTTACTAGTAAACTAGTGACATGGCACACAGGTGGCATTTCTGTCGTTTTTGATTAATTGGGTGGCATTTTTATCTTTTGCCGATATTATAAAGTACTACTAATATAATACGCTTAGGGAACCTATTAAAACGCTAATAAATAGAGAAAACAAGAGTTAAAATATAATAGGTAATTTAATAACTAAGGACAAGGAACGTTCCTATAAACTAGATATTATAACTAGTATAGAGGGTTACGTACGATTATATAACTCCCTTCTAATCCTACTTATATAGCAGAGTTTTCTCGTCTAATTCTAGGCTCCTTAGAGCATTTTTAACCTACTTCAGCTGTCTACTCTGTCCTTTATCGTATATAGTGTAGGGGCTCTCGCTTAACTTACACATGGTCCGCCGAGCACCCTCCGAGCCCTCGGTCTACCGGTCCGAGGGCTCGGCCCGTATTAATCAATTTAATTAGATTATATAATTAATTAAGTGATTGATTAAGATTAGGAGGTCTAGTTGATTAGAATAATTTACATTAAGAGCTCGTTAGTTAGTCTATTCTAATCATTTCTCACGCTACTTGATAGAAGCCGGAGCTGTGCGTGGAAGTTGATATCGGATGTTCCGTATGCTTGAGTTTAACAGATATCACTATAGAGTTAATAACTCTACAACTTCGAAGAATAACGGTATCCCCGAATACGTTAAGTTGTGATTGTGGTTTGTTTACTGTGACCGCCTAGGCAGATTATTCCGGGGGAAAAACAAGTGGAAATAAAATCTGGTATCCTCATTCATATGGTATTTGCCAGGAGCTATATCTTTTATGGTAATTTTCTATTGTCAAATATCCTATCCGTATACAGGTACTTTCATGTCCTAATTAAGACCCCGATACGCGTTGATGTCGCATTGAATAATCTACTTCTTGCAATTCCTGAGTGTCAGAATTATCCAGATCGAGTCAGCATTCCGGAGGGTTACTTCCACAACAATCAGCATGTGATTCAAGGATAAATGAGGCCCTGATGTGGAAATTCTTGGCTCCCGAAGTCAGTGCCTTCAACCTTCCTTCGTGTTCGAAGTTCTTTCTCGTTCCCATCATTTCCCAGAACGGCAGAACGTGTAGTTTACTGGGTATAGTGATAGTTCACGTATCATACTCTTCTATCGTCAATTCGGACCTATAATTATTCGTATTCGCAACATCTTCTAACCAGAGTTTTACGATCGTCTGATCCAACGCTCGTTCGATGAGCGTGCCAAGAGTTTCCCAAAACTCATGAGTTGTAAGTAGTTTGTCTAAAGGTCTGCTAGTGCATAAAGTTCCCATTGAAACAATCGCACGGGGAATACGCTAGCTTTTCACTCGGTCCGATTCGCTCGATATGACCCCGACATCTTGGGCCACCAGGGCGATCTGCTTCTTTTTGGAATTGCATGAATGATACCGCAACGGTTTTACGTGTTCTAGTTTTTCTCTCCAGCAAGAAAATTTCTCTCCAGCACGAAAATCTATAGAAAGAAAGCCTCTCCCTCGATTTTCGTCATCAAAAATCTCCAGGCCACACAAACAGAAATTCAAAGTATCAATTCATAAATCAATCTCTTTTATTCATCATGGAGAAAGTCGAAACATGCCTCGTAGATATCGAGCGCAAGCTTGGGAAAGTCATGAAGATCTCAGAAAAAGGACCAGACAAGATGAAGATCAAGGATATGGTCAAAATGGTCACCAAAGGAAACTCCATCATCAAGACAAACGATAAAATGATGAAAGAATACAGGGTAAACTTCCTCTCTTCGTGTCACCTAAGTTTATGTTTCCTTAAATCGAGAAAAAAAACACTGACACTCCTTGTAGGCCTTGACCCCAAGCGAGACCCAGAATCAAACCATTGTAAACCACATGAAGAAGATTCTCGAGCTTCAAGAAAAGCAAATGCAAGATGCCATCAACAACAAGCCTCATTTCGACAAGATCCACGCTGCAGGAATGGTCAAGAAGAACTTGAAGAAGAATGAACCACAAGGTGATGCACTTAGTGATTTGTTGATCGAGAAGTCTTCGCCTTTCCCCAGCCAGAAGTCGGAAGCTATGGCAATGAAGGCTAGAAGCAAGAAGAGCTTCAATGATGTTATGAAGGTTTATGAGGGTGCCACTGGTGGTGAGGATCAGGTAACTGAGGCTGTTGATGATTCGGACTAAAAGGGAGAGGAGATGGGATCTTGGTGCAGTCATATCCAATGGTGTACGTAGAAAAAAGCTCTCTGAGGAAACTCAATATCTAGGTATTGAAAACAATCTTCATTGGTCCTAGGCCTTTTCCTAATGATGGCATTGGTGACAGTACCTAGCAATGAATCTGCAGCAGAAGCTTAAAAATGTCCCAATTTTTCCACGTGCCTTGGTCTCTTTTCTCGCCAGTTATCAGGTAGAAGCTTAATGTAAAGCTGGCAACAAGAACTGACTGATGTCAAAGTTCTACCATGTAAGGTTTAGTGGCTCAAACGCAGCGGGCTACGCCAATGGTGACGCTAAAACTTCGGGCTTCTACACAGAGCCACATGTGGCTGGGCGAGTCATAATAAAACCCTCCCCTCACCCCCAATCAGAGGTCAATCGCGAGATTTATTGTTTTGCGGAAGAACGCATGAAGTTCTATGCACAGTTGACGGTATCTGTGGTAATAACAGCCGTGCAGAGGGGAGAAAGGGGGACAAGAAGTATAATTACTGCCTTTACTAGTTTGGAACGTGGGTGAGCTAGTGATTGGCAACTGGTTTTGGAGAAACCCTTTTAGTAGAAGAAAGTGACTTTTAGTAGAAGATATAGGTGAACGAAAAGTCAAGAATCATGTATAATAACGTGAGAATCGTGAATGAGTGCTCAAAATAAATTCTCATTAATTAATGAGTGGGGTATTTTGAACTATCGACGGCTCTAAGTCTTGATATTCGCTTCAAGTTAGCGAGACATTTTTGTGCAAGCGAGTTTTAGTGGTCAGATTTGGCGCATACTATAAAGCTTCGGCTAGAAATCCCGTGGAGTTTTTCGAAGCTTGTAAAGAATTTTGTGCAACACCTCGTTCTGAGTGGTATAGGGTACTGTAGAAGTCGGTGATACAAAAACGATACCGCGAAGCTTATTGAAATATACTTTTAGTAAGGTTATTTGATTCATGAAGGAATCAACATATCGGCTATTCAGGATTTCGCTACCTCTTTGCAGGAAACCAATTACAGAACCATTGCTTCCGGAGCATAAGGAAGAAGGGTTGGTTCTTCTTAATTCTTGGCTTTCATTACAAATAAACAAATTTTCAGCCAACTCCCGTAAAGTAAAGCTCGCCAACTCAATGTTAATATCAGAATGGGTAACACTGTACGTCTAGACGAGCGTAACGATCGCATGCTCATTTATTTCGATGGTTCCTTGTTCCATGAGCAAAAGATATCTGAATCCAACCCAGATTATCCTTTAGACCTTCTTCCTGAACTTAAGCCTCCAAACTATCTCGAGTCTGTTGACTCCCGGATCAAAATTTGAGATTAATCTCGCTAATTTGACTAAAAGAATGAAGGGGACACATCTGTTGCAACTGGCTGATGAAATTTATTAAACTCTTCCGTCCCTTCAATACTGACCTTCGATTGGTAATGTGTGTAATCTCTCTTCCCTCCTCCGATCGAATCAGTCATGTATGATCGCTCCGTCGATATGAAAAAACCGTGATGGTGCAAAAGTAACTGTAATATGGTCGTCCAGTCGGCATATGGAGCGCGCAGAATACGGCGAGGATGACAAATGCGACAACCAGAAACTTTCTCCAGGTAATAAAAACCCTCCGGTCGATTTATGCTATTGATTTCTAGGGCAATATGTACAGTTTTCGAGAACCACCCGCTTTCAACACACCAGTATCTCCAACCTTGTGGCCTCAATTAAGTAGGGAACCATATATTCGAGAATAATCAGTGACCAGACCCCTGGGTCGGATTCTCTGGTTTTCTAGGTCTCTCCTCAATTGTTAGATGGGTTGTGGGCCTCGATAGAAATGCAACTCGACGGTTTTCCGGCTCACCCCATCCTTGCCGGTCCTATATTTTAATGATCGACATATCATTAACCTTGTGCGCACTTGACTGAAAAGGCTTGTCTTTACTCTGTGACCCACTATTGCCATTGTCCAATACCTGAGCACAAATATCGCGGGTCTTTACTCGTTACGGTAGGTGGTAACAAACTGACATGCGGGGTACTTTATTTACACCCTGGTTGCCATTTCAAGGTACAAAATTGCAGCCGTTGGTAGGCAAATCTGAGATAACATTTTCTAACCTCTGCCGTTGTGTACTTCATCGCTCTAGAACTTTAGAACTTACCTTTTTCTTTTCGCTTTCCTCTCGGCTAGTCGGAGCAAAGTTGCCCATTTTTTGATCTTTTCTAGACCTAAATTTTGTAATTCACAAATTCGTCCATAAGGTACCACAGGTGAGGGGAAGTGTCTGCAAGAGATACTGTATGTACGATGATCCCTTGGCATCCGATTTCTACTTTCCTATTTGGCTCATTGCGATAAGATTTTTGGTTCTTTCATACAGTATGTATAATAAACAATCCCCCAGAATGTTTTGCTCGATGTTGCTCCTATAATTTCACTCAATTCCCTCGGTCAATCATGCAGCTGCTAGCCTCATCAAAATCGAGTTGGCAGTACCTTGGAGTCTTAACCCAATTGGTGCTTGCTCAGCAAGTTAATTCTGCACCAAGTCCTCATCGTCGCGAGGTGGGGGGAAACTTGATCGATGACGACCCATTTGAGGTTTTGGATCCCCAAAATTGGGTTGATCCAGCAAATATGACCTGGGCTGACTTCAAAGCCCCACCTGGCACGACTTGGGCTGACCCCTCAAGAAAAGGTTCCAATAGGAATTTCAATATTGCACTCGTCACTGTCGATTACGCAGATAAACCTTTCACGATTACTTTACCTACTGGATCAACCATTTTCAATAATCCACAGCCATCTGCGGGTAACATCTCACGAGAAGCTGTGCCGGGTTTCTATCGAGACTTTTTGAATACCCCCGGTGTACTCAATAAAGGACATACGCTTCACGAATATTGGATGAGTGACTCTCAAGGTCGATTTGGGGTGGACCTTACTGCATTTGGTGCATATCGATTGCCACTGGCATCCTACCAGTACGGGATCGATGATGACTTTAACACTGGTGCCTGTCCAGTCGCTGACCCGCCATGCAACTTTGAGATTCGAGGAGATGCTCTTGCAGCATGGCGTGCAGAAGTTGGAGATGATGTTGCAGATTCTTACGAGCTCGTCTTTATTCTTTCCGCCGGTCAGGACGAGTCATCAACATGGCAAGAGTTTGGAGAGATGAAATTCCAAACCAAGGAAGATGTCCCAGATTCTTTTGGCCCACCTGTAGGCAGCAATGTATCGCATGTTAACTATGCGAAAACCAGATATGTGGAATGGTCTTCTTTCGCAGCCTCGTCGACCATCTGGCCAAATGCAGGAGGTGGATCCAGTACACAAGCAGAAAGCTCCGGAATGGCAACTTATGCACATGAATTGAGCCATCTGTTGAACATTGGAGACAATTACAACAACCCATATGGTGTACCTCTACGTCGCGCTTATACTGGGCCTTGGTCCATGATGTCTCGAGGAAGTTTCAACGGACCTGGAGGACCCCATACAAGATGGCAAATTCCAGCCCAAGAAGGAGGTTCCTTGGGATCACATCATACTGTAAGGGATAAAGCTCAACTAGGACTCATTGGAGATGAGAGTATTCTTCAAGTATCACGAGAAGCATTGCCTAGTTCCGGCCCAGTCACAGCCCAAATCACAGCTCGCGCGGTGGACCCTGGCCCAACCAGTCTCTTGGGTATCAGAGTCGAGATGGATAGTGATAACTCTCCCACGTGCAGTATTAACACTGACGTGTTTTGTGACGGTGGCGGTTATGATGCTTATTTTCTTGAAGTGATTGATCGGATGGGTGCTGATTCTTTTACTCCGGATCATGGTGTGATGATCAGTAAGAGTAAGGAAGACCGAGGCGGCATGTTCCAATGGACGATTGATGCGAATCCTCAAGATATTGAACTTCTTGACTTCTACAGACCGGATGGCACACCTTCTTATATCACTCTGGGTGATTACCGACAATTGGCCGATGCCCTATTTCATGCTGGCACTGGATCTGGAAGCGAATTTGAATATGTCGATACGGCGAATAGACTGCACTTCTATATCATCGACATTCATCGCGACGATACTGGGGTTCTTTCATATACAACTGCTGTTCGATCAACCACGAACGGGACCAGTTCTCACGTACATGGAGTGGCTCTTCTTCCTGGGCTCGCAAAGGAAGCACGAAGTGCAACAATCCAAAATGGAGCCACTTGCTCTTTCCAGCTCTCCAATAGTGGTACTTTCTCGCCTACAGCTATGGAAGCTGGACACCCTGGCGATGTTTCGGCACACCTCAAGTCCGACGTATATCGTCTGAAGGCTGAGGTCGAAGGCTCTGGGTGGAATGTTATATTGCGTAACGAGTTGGTAGCTGTTGAGTTTGGAAGTTCGGTCACGGTGCAGGCTGCGATTGCTGCTGCGGATGGTGCTTCCGAATCTCCCATGATTAAGTTGACTGCTATATCTGAAATTGATCCCTCAGTTTCGGCAACTACTACTTGTTTGGTGGGTTAGAATAGTGAATTGGGATTATAGATAGTTTATTAGGAATTGATAATGTAATTTCTACTCCATTAAATTACTTGAATGCTAACCACTTGATTACTGACAGGTATTTTGTTAGATTTATAATCCCCCCTTTTTGATGTATTTTTATAAAAGATAAAGTAGTTTTATATAGAGTTTTATGTATAGTTTATTTAGTTACATACTTATACTAAAGACGTCTCTACATATTTGTAGACGTTTTATACTAATAGTATCTACTATCGTAACGCTAATTAGACTATGTAAAACGTCTAGGCTACGCTAAGATAATTATAAATTAACAAGCTGATAGCTAATATACGGGGCTAGTTCTAATATATGTTCCTAAACTTTAGACCTCGATTTCGAGCTATCGTTCTTCTATAGCTTCTTTACGCTAAGAAAGCAAGGGGGTTTAACCTACTTAATATTATTATAATTACTTAGGATTTACAAGAATCTGAACAAGGTCGAAGAGAGGTAAAAATATCTCGCGTTACTTACACAGGGCATAGACTTCCTTATTATTTACCTAGCTTTATCTAAGCGAGTTATTTTTGAGGCAAACGCTTGACATTAGTTGAACTCTACCCATATAGCACCCTTCTGTAGCGGACTTTCGGAAACAAAACAAACAGCGCCGGAGAAATCAGCTGGGCCTACCAGCTGACCACCCCTCTCTTATTAAGCTTGTCTAGCAACTTTCCGGGGGAAGCGCTACGAACGGCTCCGCTTATTTCCCCGCGCCTGGACAAAAATCCGCTTTTTCATGAAGTAACACTAACGGTTCTTCTTACGCCAAGATGGGCGCCATGAATTAGTAGATTTACCAGAGCTTAATCTTACCGACAGTGGACTGGTACTAGCGGGCGTGATCAAGAAACCAAAGCCACAGGAATTGATTATTAGGGCTGCACTTCTCGCTAAACGCTGCACGCACAGCCACAACGTATTAGAATCGGTGAAAACGTTATACTAGCCCGAAACCCCCAGCCCGAGGATTAATAGAAGAAACTCAAATGCCTTAATCAGAGGCGTTATGATTCCCTTAAATTGCAATGTGTTACGACTCATTGAGAGTGAGTTTCTGGTGGTTGTGGCTAGTTGTGGGTCAGTAGTGCGCTACTGTAAGATTACAGTACAGCACCAGGTACAGGAAAGTGTGTATCGGCATGGCCGAGACATGAACCCAAAGTGTAGCCTAATAATCGACTCCATGAAGGTAAGTTTGAGGGGGGTGGACAGCTGAGGCTGCTCCATGTTGGGCAGATCATATGTGCGAAAAGTCTATAGCATTCTCAAACCGAGTTTCTGGCTCGCTAGACTCGCTAAAAGCCGGGGCCGAGACATACAAGGCTATTAACTTGCAGGGTGCGACTTCGAGCTGTTCAACCCCTTCACCATTCTTTATGGCCCACTTTTCGTATTTTACCTATTCTTTGTTTGGAAGTATCTATTTCTTAATAGCGAATTGGTGATTAATCAGAAGAAAGTAAAAATTCGCATTTCCTTTCGTCTTTTAGTTAATGTCTAGTAGTTACAGTAAGGCTATAATATTGGAGTTATTATAATCTTTGGGGGAGTAGTGGATGTACGGTACTGGATGTACATTAAGACCTTCCCCATATTACAGTGCCTGCTCTTATCAGTAAGCACGTCCTATGGGTCATAATAGTCAGTGGGCTTCCCTCGGCGCTATCGCTTAAGGTCAGGGAAAGCAAATGTCCGGTCAGGCACGCGTATAGGGCTTTTTTCTACAATAAAACGCTACTTCTACAAGTTAGAAAGCCATATAAATAAGACAGGCTTATAGGTATAATTAACTACTGTCCTATATAAAAAGGATACATTTTTTCAATACGATTTACGTCTAATACAGACGAATTTTAGTGTTCTCATACTACTCCTACCTACAAGATTTTGGTAGGGTACGCACGTGACTATAACTTTTGAGTGCGCAAGTACGTCTTTTCCTACTTTTATTTATAGTCTATAATATATAAACACTCTACGGTCGCATTTAGATTATAGATTAGCATATTATAGAGCTAACAAAGGGATTTCTTTTGAGCCTATATAGAAGTTCATAGCTCAAATATTAATGCTAATAGAAGAGACTTATTCCTAACCTGTGTTGTGTAAAATTTACTGGTAGAAGCAACATCGGCGTTAGGTGATTCAGACTTCTTAACCCGACGACTATGAACCCGACGACTATGAACCCGACGAGTACCATATCTATTCTATTTCTTTTTACTTAAGCTGCTCCTCAAATGGTTATAACTCTTGCAGAAAATCCATCTATTCCAGTTACAATTTGACCCCAACTCTCGTATCATCCGCTTGAAATTGGTATGCAGCGTGCAGAACCAGTGAGTGTGTTAAGAGGCTATCCACAGTCGCTACAAGAGAGCATAAGATTCAAGATTATACGACTTTAATACCCTGATTTCAGGGATTCGCACGACTTCACTACCTTTATCCTGCCCCTGTTGGCACGCTGCTTTCTAAAGAACTTTTACTTCTGTTCGGACAAAGGTACGAAGTAGTAGTAGCTTGATTCCTGTTACAGGCAACAGTCTTGAAATCAAGAGGAATTTACTGTAGGTAGCTGTCTTGTAGTAGTCCTCTACAGGGCTAGAAGGTAGCGAGGGGGGACTAATTAGGACGCTTTTATAAATAAATCGCAATTTCAATTATGCCTACCTTCGTAGGATAAGACAAAAGGTACCTATCTAGCTACTCGTGAAGCTACTTAAATCTCAGTACTTTCGAAGTTGCGAATAGCTTCATTTTCCCCCTTGCTCTTGCCTTGTTATCCCCGCGGGTCAGGCGTCCTACAGCTTCAGCATCGATATCCAGGGCTCAAATTGCCTCCAAGACGTATTTATCCCTTCAATTGTGCACGACGAGGGTCGCGCAAGGGATGGAAGAGAGTTTTACAGGGGAAAAGGTACCACATCTTCAAGGACCATCTGTCGGTCTGTTCTTGCGGAGTTCAAAGTACTTACCCGCTTTTGTAAGGCTAAGCGAGCAAAATGTCAGCTCCACTTAATCGGTTGGAGCACATGCCTAAAGCATGGACAACCCCGACCACTGAAAAGGAAGAGAAAATTCCGTACCTTACCGACAAAAGCTCTACGGCACATAGACACCTGGATATCTATAACTGATGACCAAAATCGGAATGAAAGTCTGTAATATATATGCCCTTTTTATGCCGACTTTACCTACTTCCATACTTCTGTATATACTACGATTTATGCATTGTGTTACGTGCTTGACTAGAAATAGGGGGGACGGGGGGGAATGTCTCAAGGGTCATCTGATAGTGGAGTCGGAGGGGTTTACAGGCAGGGGCACACAGGCAGGTAGGGATAAAAGGCAGGTATGCAATCAAGTTGTTCGGGAAGGAAGCTTGACCAAAGCAAAATGGACCATGTGCTTCTGCTTTTTAAAGCTTGATTATACGACTTAAATACCCTGATTTCCGGGTCCCGCACGACTTCACTACGATAACAAACCAGTGACGAGAGTCTGTTTATTAATGGCAACTACCGAGTTTCATCCCTCGGTGTCGGGCGCGGTGTCTGAACAGAGTGAAGTCATACGATTGCCGTAACATTCACAGTATCCACTTCCAACTTTCAACAAAATCGGCATACTGCGAGGAATACTGGATAGCTACGAAGTAGAACGATTATAGACCTGCAGGTACCGCGGTAAGTCGTTTTCAAGGATAATGCTAAGGTGGGAGTAGTGAAATAGCAAAATTTAGCAAGATTCCCTTTTAACCCACTTAGAGAACAGCTTTCTCCAGGTCGTAGGGCAGGAAAGTCCGACCACGAGAAGCTGCCTCGCATCCTAATCTTCTACATGTAAGAAGAAGACTTCTAGAAGTAGCCACTCAGAGCCTACTCGATGCGAAGGGTCAAACTGTCGGTGGTTTAGGCCCAACGTGGATGCTGAAGACTTGATTCCGGATTAAATTAATGCCGAAAAAGGCTTGACTTGATGGTAAAATACACTTTCACTCCCCTATGAATCTTACTCGGTTTTCTCAAGCCGGCTCGATAAGCTTAAGACTCTCATGACAGTTAACCCTCGGTGCTCGGACCAGTAAAAGAATTCGGCGTTCCTGCAGGGTATTGACCCTTAGGGCAGTGTAGAGTCCCATCAAAATATAGGAACACGAGGAATATGTATCACTAGATACATGGGATCAGGCTAGGGGTACATACTACTTCGAAGTATGTGCAGATGCTTGCACCCGCTGGGTCAACGGAGGCTCCATTTATTCGAAAGGCATATCTACACCACTAAGGCGTTTATGTTTCAAGGTCTTTCCTCGCCACCCGTTCTTTCTTCTCTTTTTGTTGTTCTCTCAGTCAATCGCAACTGTCGTCGAGCTCGAAGATCTTGCCTTCAAAAATACATCCATTCGTATTGTAATCAAAATGCATACCTCTACTACCTTCCTCGCTTTTGTTCATCTCGCATCCCTCACCGCAGCCTTCCCATCTTATATGCGGCGGCAGACAAACAACTCTCCTATTTGCCCAAATCTTCCTACACTTGGTGATAACTCCACTGCAAACAACACCAGGCATGCCGACTCCCGTCCCGAAGAGTTCAGAATTATGTCAGAAGAGATGTTCCCGTTCATTCCCCCAGGGCCAAATGATCTTCGCTCCCCATGTCCCGCCGTCAACACCTTAGCGAACCATGGCATGCTACCACGCGACGGCCGCAACGTCGATTTGAATTTGTTCACCAATGCTTCCTGGTTAGGATTCAACATGGGCTACGATACAATGGCACTAATTGCTTTACCGGGAATGCGTTCTTCCACCACAGGAAATTGCAACCCTCCAACTGTGCACCTCTCCGATCTGAAACAACGCGTCCCCAAACTGGTCGAGCACGAAGCATCACTATCGCGAAGGGATGCATTCTTTGGAGGAGCAATAGGCACTTTGGATCAAGAACAATGGAGTAGAACACTGGCGCGTTGGGAGGGTCATGACATTATTACTGTAAGTACTTGTTCTTTCCCCTCCCTCGACAAAGATTCCCTCAGTTTCTAATTCATTGACTAATTTACATTTCAAATAGCTCGATGTAGCAGCCAAAGAGCTCAAGGCCCGCTTCGATTGGAGCAGAGAAAATAACGCCAATTTCACGGCGGATGAAGAGGAGTTCTCTAGACTGCCTTCTTTACTGCAGTACGGTCTCCTCATTACGACTTTCGGCAACATGGAAACGGGGGATGGCAACAAAACTCTGATTAAGTACTTTATAGAGAACGAACGAATGCCATGGTCCTTGGGTTGGCAACCCACCCAAGAGCTTTATTTCCCAAACAATCAGTTGGTTGCTGGGAACATCTCCGCTATTTGGGACTCCTTAGTGGAAGCGGAAGAAACGTGCTGAGGTCAACTCGCAAGCATTGTTCGATTTGGATTGTGCAGTTTATTGACTTAGCGATATTATAAATCTAGTACCTTCCAAGAAAGAATGATATATTATGAAGGAGAGTTCTAGTCACCCTTCCTTTATTCTGGTACAACCATCGGACCACCCACAATGTCTCCATACAAAACAGGTTAGTCCTTTGGGGCATATTAAAATTGATTTGATCCTGCTCAAATACTTAATGAACCCATCCCTAGCAATAATATGAATCGAATACTGGGCCTGCTTAAGTTTGAAGTATCGCGGCGAAAGGAACCACGCCCAGAATGAAATACGAGCCCGGGAATTTTCCGATGAATCAGGAACTTACTGCGATTCATACTCTCCCTCCTGGTTGAAAAGGGTGATTTCTTCTGTGTGTGCTGCCACAAGCAAAGAAACCTTTCGTTTAAGCGGAGGACAGTAACAAGTATCCGAATGTAATGAAGTACCTCCGTATCCTTATTTATTAGAAGTCTTTCTGTGACAAAACCTGCCCTTAAGAGTTCTGTTGAAAATTTCAATACAAAAAGGTCAAATGGACTTAATACTAATTTACAAACCGCAAATCGCAGAAGTCACTTTATATAGCAGGAAGAGCCAGAGAATGGGTTTAGTCTATTAAACTTAGTTCAGAATATTCTACAAACGTACAAGTCCTCTGGGACGGGTATGTCCTATTACGCCCCTCTTTGTACGACCTCTGTCGTACCCCCTTACGTGCCTTTTACGTACCAACTATGTTAATACCCCTTTTAGCTGTTTTATGCTCGCCTTTGTAAAATGTTTCATTTAGGTAATAATTACCTTACTTACTAATAGACTTTAGGTTTAAACCTTAGTCTGTTCTCGCTTATTCTAGAACGTTCGATCACGTGAACCGAAACATTCTAGTATCCCTTTCTATTTATAAGCACTTCTATTCTATTTATAATCTATAGAACCTCCTAGAATCTATCTAGGGAGTATATATAGACCTTTACTGTCCTTATAGTTAGAAAAATCAAGTCATTTTCACAAGTCAAATTCTTACTCTTTTGATTCTTAGTCTGTTCTCGCTTATTCTAGAACGTTCGATCACGTGAACCGAAACATTCTAGTATCCCTTTCTATTTATAAGCACTTCTATTCTATTTATAATCTATAGAACCTCCTAGAATCTATCTAGGGAGTATATATAGACCTTTACTGTCCTTATAGTTAGAAAAATCAAGTCATTTTCACAAGTCAAATTCTTACTCTTTTGATTCCCGATGTACCTAACAGTCATCTGACCATCCTACTTCCACTGTCTTATATACACTCTGTATATAACCGATACCTCTTACATAAAATAGTATTAGAAAGAAAAGAGAAGAGGAGGTAGATAAAAGAGCAAGAACAGGGAAGTACAAACAATCCTTTAATGTAATACGTATATTAGCTTAGCCTTTTCAGAAATCAGGAAGGTAGTATTAGGGGCTTAAGTATAAGCGACGGACGCGCGTATAAATTAAATACTTTCCCCCTGCTCCTTTCCTTCTAAACAATATACTAGGGCATAAACCCTATACAATAGCGAGTATGGGATAGTTACGTAACATGTAGTAAGGGTAGTAGGTGTGAGGGTTGGAACCCATGATGGAGGCTCGGGCCATGCCCTCGCTAAGCACTGACCAAAGTCCCCGCTCAGCATTGGCCATTGCTCCACTGCTAAATTGGTTTCTCCTTTTCTACACTTTTCTACTCTATTCTCTTGACGTCACGTATTTGTCAAACAGTTTCTTGGAAGACTCCAGAAACTCTTCCTCTCTCTATATATAGAGGAAGAGATTGCATGTA